GGCTGCTGCTGGTGGTGTAATGGTGTGGGGGAGATTTTCTTAGTACCAACTGAGCATGGTTTAAACACCACAGCCTACCTGAGTATTGTTGCTGAGCGTGTCCATCCCTTTATGACCACAGTGTACCCATCTTCTGATGGCTACTTCCAGCAGGATAACGCACCATGTCACACCATGAGTTCACTGTACTCCAATGGCCTCCACAGTCACCAGATCTCAGTCCAATAGAGCACCTTTGGGATGTGGATAGTTAAATTTTTAACAAAACATGAAATTGTTTCAGCTTGTCGTACATTTTGTAATTTTTTAACTAACTGTGTCAGATGGATGCAGCAGGGTAAAAAGTAAAAAAATTACCTCTGAAATGTAGTGGAATAAAAGTGGAACATGCTATGAGTACATGAGCAAATGTACTTTAGTCACATTCTACCGCTGCTAAAAATTTCGACGTATTGGCCACTACTGCTTTGCTTTGACCGCTCTTTGTAAAATCAGTCTCTTGTGATTCCCCTAATGTATCACTGGAATACCCCTTTCAGCATGTCAAATTTAATTAAATTTTTTTGCAATATCTATCACTAGACAGCGACCCCTTCCCCACAGCAGTACCAGCAGGATCAAAGCCAGTCCACAGTCGCCCCTCCTGGCAAAACCCCTTTCAACTCAACCACACAGAGGTTCAAAAGCACGTCATGTACAGCTGAGGACAGCCCAGGGTGAGACAGAGACACACACTGTCTGACACACAGCTCTAATGTAACAGTGATTCACTGAGCTGAAAGATTTTAATTCTGTGATACAGGCCTGGGACCTACACTCATGATGCAGTGACAAACAGGAAAGTGAGCTGGCCGATGTGCTTTGGGAGGCCAGACAGATCCAGAATGCCTCAGATGGAAAAGAAGTCACTCAAAGTGAAGGTAAGGTTTTGACTCCAAATTGTGAAACAATCTTGAAAACTTGGCAACTGATTCATACATGTGGAGCCATACCCATTTTCAAGTTAAAATCAGAGATACAATACAAAAAACAAAAATATGATAGCTATGACTTGTTAATGACATTTTTATGGCAAGCTGTACTGTTATTTTTTGTGACTGAACTATTAATTGATATAATAATTATAATTAAAATTGATGCCAATGCCATACTCCATACTGCCATAATTATTTCATTAATTATAATTGACGGTTACAACATATATTATGTTTAAAAGAAGTCATATAAAAATCATAGTATAGTATGTTTAAAAAAAAGTCACGAAAGAAGTTAAAGTAGAGCATGTTAAGAAACATCAGGAAGAAAAAGTCATAGTATAGTATAATAAAAAAAAAAGTCATAGTAAAAAACATGTGGAAGAAAAAGTCGTAGTATGTGAAGAAATATCAGACAAAAAGTCACAGTATACCATGTTAAAAAGAGCCATACTAGTCATACTATACTATGACTTTTTCGTGATGTTGGACGACATACTATGCGATGATGTTTTTTTTGTGATTTTGGACGACATGCTATACTATGACTTTTTTCATGATTTTGGATGACATACTATGACGTTTTTTCGTGATGTTGGACGACATACTATACTATGGCGTTTTTTCATGATTTTGGACGACATACTATACTATGACGTTTTTTCATGTTTTTGGACGACATGCTATACTATGACGTTTTTTCATGATTTTGGACGACATGCTATACTATGACTTTTTTCATGATTTGGAAGACATACTATACTATGACGTTTTTTCATGATTGTGGACAACATGCTATACTGTAACGTTTTTTTTTGTGATTTTGGACGACATGCTGTACTATGGTGTTTTTTCATGATTTTGGACGACATGCTATACTATGACGTTTTTTTTAACCTTATTTTGATGACATACTATACTATGACGTTTTTCGTGATTTTGGACGACATACTATACTATGACTTTTTTCATGATTTTGGACGACATGTTATACTATGACGTTTTTTTTAATCTTATTTTGGACGACATACTATACTATGACGTTTTTTCATGATTTTGGACGACATGCTATACTATGACGTTTTTTCATGATTTTTGACGACATACTATACGATGACGTTTTTTTGTGATTTTGGACGACATGCTATACTACAACGTTTTTTCATGATTTTGGACGACATGCTATACTATGACTTTTTTCATGATTTTGGATGACATACTATGACATTTTTTTGTGATGTTGGATGACATGCTATACTATAACGTTTTTTCGTGATTTTGGATGACATACTATACTATGACGTTTTTTCATGATTTTGGATGACGTGTTATACTGTAACGTTTTTTTTTTTTTGTGATTTTGGACGACATGACTATGGCGTTTTTTCATGATTTTGGACGACATGCTATACTATGACATTTTTTTTAATCTTATTTTGATGACATACTATACTATGATGTTTTTTCTTGATTTTGGACGACATACTATACAATGACGTTTTTTTGTGATTTTGGACGACATGCTATACTACAACGTTTTTTCATGATTTTGGACGACATGTTATACTATGACGTTTTTTTGTGATTTTGGACGACATGCTATACTACAGCGTTTTTTCATGATTTTGGACGACATGCTATACTATGACTTTTTTCATGATTTAAGATGACATACTATGACGTTTTTTCGTGATGTTGGACGACATGCTATACTATGACGTTTTTTCGTGATTTTGGACAACATACTATACTATGACATTTTTTTTAATCTTATTTTGATGACATAGTCATCAACATGACATAGTATGATATCTCGTCTAAAATCATGAAAAAATGTTATAGTATAGCATGTGAAAAATTCATTGTCTCCACATGCTATACTACGTTTTTTCATGATTTTGGACAACATGCTATACTATGACTTTTTTCATGATTTTGGATGACATACTATGACGTTTTTTCGTGATGTTGGACGACATGCTATACTATGACGTTTTTTCGTGATTTTGGACGACATGCTATACTGTAACTTTTTTTTTGTGATTTTGGACGACATGCTATACTATGACGTTTTTTCATGATTTTGGACGACATGCTATACTATGACGTTTTTTCATGATTTTGGACGACATACTATACTATGATGTTTTTTCATGATTTTGGACGACTATGACGTGTTTTCATGATTTTGGACAACGTGCTATACTATGATTTTTTTCATGATTTTGGACAACATACTATACTATGACGTTTTTTCATGATTTGGAAGACATACTATACTATGACGTTTTTTCATGATTTTGGACGACATACTATACTACAACGTTTTTTCATGATTTTGGATGACATGCTATACTATGACATTTTTTCATGATTTAGGACGACATGCTATACTATGACGTTTTTTTGTGATTTTGGACGACATGCTATACTATGACGTTTTTTCGTGATTTTGGACATGCTATACTATGACATTTTTTCGTGATTTTGGACAACATGCTATACTATGACGTTTTTTCATGATTTTGGACAACATGCTATACTGTGAGGTTTTTTCATGATTTTGGACGACATGCTATACTATGACGTTTTTTCATAATTTTGGATGACATACTATGACGTTTTTTCATAATTTTGGACAACATACTATACTATGACGTTTTTTCATAATTTTGGACGACATAGTATACTATGACTTCTTTTTCATGATTTTGGACGAAATATTATGACGTTTTTTTGTCATGATTTTGGACGACATACTATACTATGACCTTTTTTCATGTTTTTGGACGACATGCTATACTATGACGTTTTTTCATGATTTTGGACGACATACTATGACTTTTTTCATGATTTGGAAGACATACTATACTATGACGTTTTTTCATGATTTTGGACAACATGCTATACTGTGATGTTTTTTCATGATTTTGGACGACATGCTATACTATGACATTTTTTCATAATTTTGGACGACATACTATGACGTTTCTTCATAATTTTGGACGATATGCTATACCATGATTTTTTTTTATAATTTTGGATGACATACTATACTATACCATGACGACATACTATACTATTAAGTATAGTAAAGTGTCCTTGTATGATATGCTGTTATGAAAAAAAAAGGTTGTAGTGTAGCATGTCATCCAAAATCATGAAAAACGTCATAATATAGCATGTCATCCAAAATCAGAAAAAACGTCATAGTATAGCATGTCGTCCAAGATCACAAAAACACGACATAGTATGGTATCTCGTCTAAAATCATGAAAAAATGTCATAGTATAGCATGTGAAAAATTCATTGTCTCCACATTTTGAGATACATGACAGGAAGGGTATGAAAAATATAATCTGAAAAGTAGCCAATGCTGTCAGATTAACAACAGTACTTAAGTAAATGTACTTAGTTACATTCCCCCACCATCTACACAAAACCCACATTCTTCTCATCCACGTCCTGGCAAGAAAGTCTATAATTGCATTTCCCAAAATGTCAAACAGTTCATTTAAAGAGTTTGATGTACACATTAAGTATCATGTTTTGAGAGATGTAACTGATCCTGTACAAAATTACACACAGTTGCTGCTGAAAAACAATTTTTTATAGGAATTCTATTCAGTGGGATGAATACCTAATACGTCTTGTCATACAGTAAGAGTAACATCTAATGCTCTTCATTTTCTTTCAGCTTAACAGTGAAAAGGAGTTCCTGAAGCACAGCAGCAGACTCGCCTACCTGAGTTTGTACTATTAACAATAAAGCTGATGGATGAAAACACATGTGACACTGATGTAAGATGGAATCTTTGTCTTATTATTTACCTGAACTTTTACTGTAAATGTACTGGACAGAAACCACTGTCAAAACAAGATGGATATCAGAGTTTGGAAAAAAAGGAATAGTTCTCTTTATTCACAAATGACTGGATTCCTGTATGATCTGTATGTCACACCATGATGTTGCTTACAAAGTAATATCACAAATTTTTAACAAAGTGAGTGCTTGCTGAAAAAAATGACAATTAACACAACAAAATGCAGTTCTCTCTTCAATAGAAGGCATTCAGCATACAAAAAGCCAACAGCATCCGATGGTCCCGGCTCACACAGCAGGTCTCTACACCGGGCTGCTCCTCTCTGTGGGGGGAGTCACTGACTGGACCACTGAAAGCACCAACCACTGTGGCAAATATGAGTCTTTTGGTTCAGGGTGGGCTCTGGCTCATTTCTTCCTCCTCACTTTGGGTTTCTTAACTGGCCGAAGGTACGGGTTGTCGATCACATTGTCCTCACTAGCCTTTGTAGAAGGAACAACGCCGCTGGGAGGAAGTATGGAGTTCTCTTTGTCAGCCCCGGGATCATCCTGAGTGAGGGAAACAGAAAAAAAGGACAGACGTGAGCAATCATTGTAGGACAGGAACAGTTTGACATTTTGGGAAATTAGTGGTTAGATGAAAAGATTGATAGCACTCATGTCTGTGGGTTGAGTATAGAACTAGAGCCAGCAAGAAATTAGCTTAGCTCTTCGCAGGATGGTCAGGGCGATGGTATGTGAGGGTGTCATAGTGTGGTATGTTAAAAAAAAGTCAAAGTATCGTATATTAAAAAAGGTCAGAAAAAGTCATAGTATAGTATGTTTTTAAAAAAGTCATAGTGTAGCATGTTAAAAAAAAGTCATAGTATAGCATGTTAAAAAGTCATAGTGTAGCATGTTAAAAAAAGTCATAGTATAGCATGTTAAAAAAAGACATAGTGTAGCATGTTAAAAAAAAGACATGGTGTAGCATGTTAAAAGTCATAGTGTAGCATGTTAAAAAAGTCATAGTGTAGCATGTTTAAAAAAAGTCATAGTATAGCATGTTAAAAGTCATAGCGTAGCATGTTAAAAAAAGTCATAGTATAGCATGTTAAAAAGTCAGTGTAGCATGTTAAAAAAAAGTCATAGTATAGCATGTTAAAAGTCATAGTGTAGCATGTTAAAAAAGACAGTGTAGCATGTTAAAAAAAAGTCATAGTGTAGCATATTAAAAAAAAGTCATAGTATAGCATGTTAAAAGTCATAGCGTAGCATGTTAAAAAAAGTCATAGTATAGCATGTTAAAAGTCATAGCGTATCATGTTAAAAAAATTCATAGTATAGCATGTTAAAAGTCATAGTGTAGCATGTAAAAAAAAAGCCATAGTGTAGCATGTTAAAAAAAAGTCATAGTCATAGTGTAGCATGTTAAAAAAAAGTCATAGTATAGCATGCAGGGTTCCTACACATTTGGAATTTCAAAATTCCATACTTTTCCATACCCTAATTTCCAGACTTCTCAGCGTTTTTATTTATTTATTTATTTTTTATAGAGTACATGCGACATCTGAGTAAATATATCAGTGTATCATATTTCACATCATATTTAATTATTCTTAATAGGCGATTGTAGCCAAGTACCATAATGGCATGCAAATAAAAACTCAGGTAAGTTCAATGTCTGGGCTGAGGCAAAAAGGTTGGGACTCTCGGTGCAAGCGATGCAGCAACGAGACGTCGGTGTTTTTTCTTTTCATGTGGCTCAGAATCGCCTTGTCCCCCATGTTGGCGATGCAGGGTTCAACGCTAAGGTTTTTTTTCACTTGCGAGGTCGGGCAAGTTGGTCAGAGATCTACTTGCTCGAAGTCAGTTTTTACTTGCCCTATAAAAATTGTTTAATTTAAGCGCCTATCAAATAACAAAGACGGCAGTTATTTTTATGTTATGTAATCTTTATTCACACTGTATTTATTAATTAAAACAACATACGTCATGTATTGTAGCTTAATTCCTACACAAAAATGACAGTGTCAGGGCTTAAAGTGAAAAATTTCACATGCGTGAAACTTTTTTGTATGCTTGCAAAGCACAGCCTGCTGGGATGTTTCTATGTATCTACTGGCACCAGAAGGGCTCTTTAGGACTAAGTACATACAGTACATTTGTGCACAGTATGAGCAGGTGAAATGTCTGTCTAGCTTACATATGAGGTGTCTCAGGTGTCTTAGGAACATACAATTTTATTGAATATAATAAAAGTAAAAAGTCACTTGACATGCTGCTGTTTTGTGCTATGACCTATTTAAATGCTGGAAGGTGTTATTTACGTGACAACGCCTGAACGCAACACAAGCTCAGCACCAAGAGTGCCGTGCTGCGCTGCTGTGCGAGCAGCGTGTTTGTCTGTGCGTTTGTTGCTGGTTATTTACACAGTGTCCATAACAATAACTTTGTCAGCTGACAAACTGCACCGGGCTCGGGGTCAGGTTTGGTCAGGAAAATGCGGCCCAAGCAGCTCTAGCGTGCTCACCTGTGTGTGTGGCGGAACTCTGCCGTGCGCGATACAGAGAGCAGAGGAGAATTGTTAACGCGTGACCATGTAGAGACAGAAATGACACGATGACATAACACTATATATAGTAGGCCTATATTGTTATGTTATTATATGAAGCGTCTGTCACGCAAAATAATATGACTTTAGTTTATGAAGAGGTAAGACAGAGCTCTCTCCTCTCCTCTACATAGAGCAGCATGTAGCGGACTGGTCATACCAATTGTCAATCGGATAAAAGGAGCGGTATGTTTTCTGAGACGTTTGCTCTCACACAAAATGTGCCTGGCCCGGCATAAAACACGATCCGGATTGATTAAATTATTTTTGGAAATACCTAATTTTCTATTTTAGAAAACAGTATTTTAGAACAGTGGTAAGAGTCTGGAAACATAAATATTTTCCCATACTTTATATTTAATTTTCGATACTTTTTAATACCTGGAAATTGATCAAATTTATTTCCATACTTTTCCATACTTACGTAGGAACCCTGTAACATGTTAAAAGTCATAGTATAGCATGTTAAAAAAGTCACAGTATAGCATGTTAAAAAAGTCACAGTATAACATGTTAAAAGTCATAGTGTAGCATGTTAAAAAAGTCATAGTATAACATGTTAAAAGTCATAGTGTAGCATGTTAAAAAAGTCATAGTATAACATGTTAAAAGTCATAGTGTAGCATGTTAAAAACGTCATAGTATAGCATGTTAAAAAAAGTCATAGTATAACATGTTAAAAAAGTCAGTATAGCATGTTAAAAAAGTCATAGTATAGCATGTTAAAAAAGTCATAGTATAACATGTTAAAAGTCACAGTATATCATGTTAAAAAGTCACAGTATAGCATGTTAAAAAAGTCACAGTATATCATGTTAAAAAGTCACAGTATGTCATGTTAAAAAAGTCACAGTATGTCATGTTAAAAAAGTCACAGTATATCATGTTAAAAAGTCACAGTATGTCATGTTAAAAAAGTCACAGTATATCATGTTAAAAAGTCACAGCATAGCATGTTAAAAAAGTCACAGTGTGTCATGTTAAAAAGTCACAGGATATCATGTTAAAAAAGTCACAGTATGTCATGTTAAAAAAGTCAGTATGTCATGTTAAAATAGTCATTGTATAGCATGTTAAAAATGTCATAGTACAGTATGTTAAAAAGGTTAGAAAAAAGCCATAGTATAGTATGTTAAAAAGTCACAGTATAGCATGTTAAAAAATGTAGTACAGTATATAGTACAGTATGTTAAAAAGGTCAGAAAAAGCCATAGTATAGTGGATGGGTACTGCCCCAGGTCAAGTGTGTGTATTTGAACCCTACTAATGCAATTTATTGAAATCTCACCTCCCAGCTTGTTCATTGGCCAGAAGTTTTGCTGCCACTTACCTACACCTGTTGCTTCCTGGCCAATAAAGAAGCTGGGAGTGGGGATACACAAGCATAGTTCAAGCACGTGCGCTTGTCCTCGTGCGTGACACTTTTCATGAGAAGTGTTTCAAATAGTAAGATTTTAGAAAAAGTGCATGTGTTGGGGAAGTACACAGAATATGACTGAACTGTGGTGAGAATTCCTGGAAACAGGATCCAGATTCCTGGCACTAACCCCTCCACCAGATGCACCATAATAGAGCTACTGTATTCTCTGCATTAAATTTTCCAAATCCAAACCAAGTAGTGCTCTTCGAGGCCCTGCATGACACTGAAGAGGTAGATTTGATACCTGGTACTGGTCAGTAAATCTGAGTTCAAAGAATCCAATTTGCCTTTTCAAATTAATGTCCACGAGTGTGTGGAAACAGTAGCATATTCCCAGGAAGTAACTATTTTTACAACACTGGAAATCTGGGAACTCAGACAGAAACCATGATGGTTGTAAAACTATATATCGGACACTGAGCAAGATCCAGAAGTTAAGACTTACATTGATGATGTTTCCTGCTGTGTTCTCACTGTCCGTCTGGTCGTCCTGCTCAGAGGAGTCTGTCTCCTCTAAGGTCTGTAGTTCCAGCTCTGAGGGCAGGAGGGCACTGAGATAGGGGATGGAGCTTGGTTGTGCTGCGATTACTGAAAACACATTCACAGGAATTTAAACTCATGTAAATATAACATGCTTTCAGAAGCGTAACACACATGCAGAGAACAAACAGACTTGAATGTGCAAACAACATATTACAGCCAGTTTTTTAAATACAGGTCTGCTCGGTGGAATCACTCACATGGGAAGGCGGTGATGTCATCTTTGAAGAGGCTCTGAGTTTCTCCGGTCTTGGCCATGAAGCGTGTGAGCGCTCGCTCCACGTCTCTCCTCTGACTCGCTGCCTTCTCTCTCACCACTTGGTAGTCAGACACAGGCTCTCTGAACGCCTGAGCGCAGAAAGGAAAACACACACACACAAACAAACTTCACTTTCTGATTTTCTTCTTTTTATCACACATAACAAAGGGCACCCTGATAACAGTGGTGAAACTAAATGGTGTTTCCAGCGATTACACTTCATCTTAGTAGAAAATATTACCAAAGAAAAATTCCATTTGTTCAGGGTTTCTTTAAGGCCCCGATCACACAGAGTGTATTTCAGCAGCTGGAGGCAGCTTTTTGTAATTATTTTTAATGAGAATGAAGCTTTCAGGGCCTGAGCATCTCTAATGACAAAGAGGAGTTCTGACTCACGGGTGTTTTGATGTAGGTGTGAGGGTCGGGGAACTCTGGGAAGTGGCTGGGGATATGAGCTGGATGTGTGCGCTTCTGTCCCGCTGACAGTGCTTTAGGAGTCACGGGTGGGTTTGTCACTGGGGCTGAAATTCATCAAATCGAAACACACGCAAAAAAAATAAGTAATACTAGAACCAATGTAGAAAGTGAGACTAGTATTACTCATCAATTTCATAATCCAAACTAACAGTGGACACTAGAGTGTCTACTTACGGGCTGTTATAACCATCCTCTGTGACCTCTTGGCATACACAGGCAGAGTGTCGGCATTGAAACCTGCAGCAAAATAAAACCAGATTAAACAACATCCTCTGTGTTACCTTGTGTTTGCATTGTATTCATATGTCGGTGTCCTCCAGTACCTACCCATTTCAATGAGTGTGACCACTGTATCCGACAGGGTTGGGATGCTTCTGGCTGTGTGTTCACAATAAGCTTTAGCACATCGACCTATTTCAGTTATATCTGCAGAGGGGATGAAAAAACATTTGGGTTTAGAACAAGTCTGCTTATGAAGACTAAACATTTTGCAAGTAAAACGAATGGATGATGAAAGGTGGGATCTAATTTCTGTTCACAGGGATCATTAGCACATGCATTTGGTGATTTCGGATTTATTAAAATAACAGCGCCAATGCACCTGAACTCAATAACAATACAGCTCTGTCTCTTTGTCTTAATAAGATGGAGCAACAGTCCTGATTTTCTGAACCACTTCTCTAAACATGTAATAAAACTATCTTAAAATGACATCCTGAGTGTGTATCATTAGAAAACTACACTGAATCATTTCGGTCACATCGACTGACAGTAGATGACTGTCAACACCTCTGGTTACACAACAAAACTGCTCATTAAGTGATTGAAGCTCACGCAGAATGTGATGTAAAAGCTACAGCTTAACACTTTAAATTTGCTTACAGCAGCAAATGAACAGAGCACAACAAAAAGCTGTATTGAATGTGGATCGGTCACATCTGGACGATGGCCAATACGCATAATAAGGCCAGTATCGGGGCCAACACCGATCCAACAAATCCCCACTACAAACCCAACAGCAGTAATAACAATGATGAATGACCTCCACAAGGATCGAGCTGTGTCTACTAACAAAACAGCCTGAACAAAAGTTTTCATGCCACATTTCTAAGATGTTCAACAAAGAATTTTCACTGCCCTGACGACTACTAAAGATCTACAACACATCAGCAGAGTGACGCGCTACAAAGGAGATGTAAATTATTCTTTTGGTCCAAAACATGTCACAAAACACTTCTCCAGTACTTTATTTTTGTATTTTTGTATTACACCAAGTGTTTACAATTATCTTGCCATCATTGAGGTTGGGTCTGCACTGTGGCAACCAGCAGCACGCAAACTCTCCTGCGTTTAATGTGCTCATACTGTTTTAAGAAGGTTCAATGCATGCTATTCATGGTTTTATTTCTTCATGATTTTAGCCCAGTTCAGACGCAACGAGACGAGTTGAAAATTGCATCTACCTACAATGTGCCATTCTGCAACGTTCTAAAAACCTGCCAGTTCACACCAATGCAACTAGATGAGACAGTGTATCATTTCGAGTCAACAACTCTCTGTACTTCTGTTCTGATATCCAGATTTCAGGCTTATTTTGTGTCCGAATATAATGTGTAGCTTTTTAAAATATGAATGAGGATAGTAATAGTGAGATACTGGCTACAGCTGCATTTGTAGTAGTGATCAAACAGTGAAAATCAGAAACATTAGTTGGACTGTATTCATAATCAATACACCACAATAAGTTAAGTAGTACTACTTAGTTAGTCAATAAGAATGTGTGTGTGTGGGCGGGGCATAAGCACATACAGCGAGCAGCAACAAACTGTCCAACACCGGCACACATGAGGACGGAAACAGAGGGCTCAATGGGGACAGAGCACATGCCATCTGCAGTCATTTTGACTTGACCAGCAGACTTCACTACAAGCTGACTGGTTGTTGATACAGATGACGTGCTTTATGTTCTAAAACCAGCCGCCAGCGATTTAACCAGCTGAGTTACAGGTGGCATCAGAAGTCGAGCTCAGACAGCCAGATCCCACTGCAACGTTCGAAAGCGGTTTCGTCTCGTTGTGAGATCGTTGGTCTGAACTGAGCTTTTAAGTGCCTTGACTAAGGATGGTGGGATGCTTGATGCAGTGTGTTGTTGTTATTGTTGTTGTTGCTGTTTTATATTTGTTCTATGTCGTTTTTGTTACGTGTCTCTCTGTCTACCTACCTATGCTCTGTGTAACACAAACTGCCTCTATGAGGATAATAAAGTTTTCCAAAATAAAGACTAAATGAAAGTTAACTGAAAACAGTTGGTAAATAAAGCATAATGCCCTGCAGAACATTTGTGTGCTCTGTGTTAATTTTTAATACACAAAACATACAAGTGTGCAGCTCTGAGGAAAATGAATGGGGACATCTACTTTAGGATTCATACGTACAGCTCTGCATCATCTCAGTGAGTGTCTCCACTGCTGCCTTCTCCGCGCTCTCGAAGCCACTCTCTGTCAAGAGGGCACTGACAACAACCTGCAGGGTGCGACGTCGGGCCAGGTGGTAGTTCTCTGCAGGGCTGGTAGCTGCTTTACTACCACTCCCACGCTGAAAAACATACAAGAAACAACAGGTGAGAAAAATCCATCAGAAACTTGAAAACTGAGTGTGTCAGTCCTACCTTCAGGTGTACTAAGTTTTTGGTCTATGAGTACTTCACAAAGTACATAAGTGTTGTAAGGTCACAGAGACCCGCTCACAATCAGTCAGGGGCTGCAGTTAATGTGCCTCATCTTGCCAGCCTTTGCTAGCTGACAGCTGTAGAGGAAGTACTCACATCTTTTACATAAATAAAAGTAGAAATGACACGGACTGAAAATATTCAAATGAAGATCCTGAATACAAAACGTTACGTAAAGGGGAACTACACCCATTTTGCCCATTCCCAAAATGCATAAGACACTCGAAAAAAAATCTTAAACATGAACAGCTTCATCCCAAATCCAAAAAATAGAGTGCTAAAACTGAAATTTATGATGTCATAAAGTATAAAGTGCAGAGCTGCTCCATTGACAATGAAACAGGAAGATGTTAGATGAGACTAAGAGCACCTAGAGGAATGTTCTGAGTATGGATCGATTCACAATAACTTTACTTCTGGATAGAAACCCCCTGCGACATGTACATAAAACTAAACGGCTCTGAGCAAACACTGCCTCGATTGGTCAGGTTTAAGCCATCTAAAAAAAAACAGTATCAGTTTAAGTGTACACTATATTTACAATGTTTTCACAAATGTACCTTACCATCAGACAGCTCTTTCAGACAGAGAACTATGCTGTTATCTCAAAGCCTCCAGACTCCACTGACAGAAACGGTTGCTGTACTTCACTGAACATGAGATTTGCTGGCCTGCCTCTGCTTCTCTGATTTAAGTGTGTAAAGTAAAGCAGTAAAAATATTCCAAATGTTATTTACACTTGACCTGATATTAATATTCTTCGGTGTATCTTTTAAGGTGGTGAAAAAACGTTTTGCTGCTGACCTCGTCCAAAGCAGGACATCACTTAGCTTCTGTGTCGATAGATTTGGTTTATCACAGATGCAAAGCAACACAGTAAACAAACTAATGTTTATGGTGCTGGAAATTCACTTTGCAGATGGCACGTATCTCCACCAACTGAAATCAAGCGCCAGTTGTCTGACCACATGTGGCTGGTGCTGTGAGCGCAACGTCTCAGTGATTCAGTTTATATGGGTCCATTTTCTGTTTCTGAACTGAGAACACTACAATTTAATAAAGCTCATTTAAGTATAAAAAAAGAAAACAAATATTCTGTGGTCCACAAAATCAGGCTCCCATTTAGTGTCTATAGAGCAGAGCTGTAGACTCTACCCTATGACATCACAAGTTTGAGATTTACTTCTCTAGTTTCTGGCTTTGAGAGAGAGTAGCTCATGTTCACAGATATTGATTGAACTTTTCTAGGCCATGAAAATGACATGTTGGAGTTCTTAATTTAGGCTGTGCTTACAGAGGTATCATTAACAAAATGTACTTAACGTATCAAAAGTAAAAAAGTACAACACTTTCCCTTGAAAGATAAATTAGGGGAGTACCGTAATAAGTATACAGTAGCATATTATGGAAATGCAAAAGTAAAGTAACGCCAAGTTGGTCAAAATTTGAGTAAATGTACTTAGTTACTGTCCACCACTGCTAGTTGACAAGCTTGACTTACAGGAGCACATGTAGCAACACATTAGCAGGTGTAGCGCTGAGAATCTATATAGGTTGAGAATAATAAATACTGACAAATGAACCCTGGCTTACAAACTAACTACACATTGCATGCTACTCACATTGTCATCGGATAAAGGCGGTTATATTCTTTACAGAAACATGCTCACGATCTGGAAATGTAGCTAACACACATTGACACATACATTCATTAGCATTAGCCACTTAGCCGTAACAACGACAACGCAGCTAAATGTGTCGTCTGTGCTTAAGTACAGCACGACACATTGTTGATTGAGAGAAGTTATTTTAAGTTTTTGGCCCTTGTTTAGACACATTCAGCACTGCTGTTAGCATTTTTCCAAGAAAATGCTAACAGCTAACAGTTAGCCAAACACAGCTAAGCTAGCTGCTTCCTGCTAATGGCGGTGAGCGTATTTTAAAACCGTCTCTTACCCCTCCTGCATTCAGTGAACCTCCCGACGCCACCGCGGGATCCGCCATCTGTAATTTAATTCACTCTGCTCTTTGGATTAAACGTATTTAACACGATAGTGACGAAAACTGTATTTGTCTGACGAGCCGCCGTAGCCGCCGTTCGTAAACACACCGTGAATCTATGTCGTCGTTTCCGTTACAAGACCGGAAGTTTGAATTAACCCGCGGTATAGTTAATAACTCCCTCTAGTGGTTGTGTGTAGACTTACACCCGCAACATTTTCAACGTGTCAGTTCAGGTTTACTGTACTTTTAAATTCGAGGTACTTATTTTGATTTATGCAACTTTATACTGGGAAAATATTGTACCTTTGACTCCACTACACTTGTCTGACAGCTTTATTTTCAGATATATCTGTACGGTTGTATATTAACCCTTTGAAATCTGGAGCATCGCTTTTCTTGTGCTGCTCCCAGACTCTTATTGCAAGTAGCCTATTTAAACCTTTATCTTGAGCAAATGGGTGCGATTTCTCTCCAAAAAATTAGAAAAAAGGCAATAAGCAGCTTGGTAAGAAATGTCCCACAAAATGCAATAAATAAATAAATAGATAATAGATTTATAGTTAAGGACAAACTAAAATTATTAATCTTATTTTTACATTTCAAAACTATGTTACAGAATTACTATAATTTTTAAGCACTATTTCCAGGTCGTTTCCTTGTCAGTTTGTTTTTAACTTTCTTTCTTTCTTTCTTACTATTTTTCTTGTTTTTAATTGTCTCTCTTTACTAATTTGTTGCTGATTTCTTGGGTTATTTCTTGTTGCTCAGTGCCTTTTTCCCAGTTTTTTTTAAAGAAATCAAGCCAATTTACTAAGGCTTCACAGGTTTAAACTATCTTATATAAAGTAGTTATGAATAATAATATAATTAGTGCAACTTGACACAAATCTACAGCAGTAAAATGCAACATACACATTAAGGCAACAGTGATATGATTCCAAACACTGTCAGGGAACATTTTACAGCACATATTTACCTTGTTTTATATAAGGTTCTGAATGTAGGACTTTTACTTGTAATGGAGTATTATCTCGGTGGGGTATAGCTACTTTCACTTGGTAAATGATTTGAAGACGTGTTCCCAACACTTCTTGTGGGATATGCTGGTGTTACAGCATGAAATAAGAGGAAAAAAATGGTTAATGCACAGGTCTGAATGTGCGAGTGTCTTTCCCTCTCAAAATGTGGCAACATTAGTAACATAAATTTGTCATACAGAAGGTAATATTGGATATATATTCCATGGTCTAATGTGGTTTAGTTAAACAGCCCCTAACTTAGTCTGACCTTACTTTACGAATGTCTATCATGTCATTGTTAATAAATCTATTTGAGGAATGTCTCTTGCAACATGTAGACAAAGCTATATTACTCTTAAATAAGACTTGATTCAGTTGCTCGCTGTAAAATCACTTTATTCCAGTGCAAAATGAATTCAGTCACACACATTCAGCTTTTTCTCCAACACATTCATCAAGTCACATCATCCACGAGTATCTGCTGCCCAGCAGCCAGACTTTACTGTACTCTACAGTTTTCAGTGTATCTTCTCATTTTTTGTCAGTCGACGGGGGCAAATTGCATCTTTAACCAAATCTGGAATAACAGAACGAGTACAAAGTGACCAGTTCAACACGGTGATTTAATTTACCACCCCCACCATCAACATTTCAAGTGTCATGTCCATTTACACCGGGAGGGGACGGTTTCTTTAAGAAGCGTGTAAACGGGTTGAGCTTCTCTGCACAGCAGTCACCAGATGTTTGGCCTTGGCCTCGATCGCTACCATCTCCAGCACGTTCACAACGTCAGGGCAAATAACAGTGGTGTGTGACTTTAACTCCTGCTTCTCCTCCTTCTTCTTCTTCTCCATAATCAGCTCTGCTGGTGCATCCTCCACAGACTCCTGCTCCACAAATGGCATGAGAACAGTTTCCACCATTGCACCAACGACTCCGAGCATCGCCAGAGTGGAGCCGAGCATGTACATCTTCAGCATGCCCCGGGTGGGCCTCTGGTGCAGCATCTCCTTAGCGAATGGGATGATCTCGCCAATGGTTTCCATGGTGTGTTGCTTGATTAGTCTGTTGAAGGAAAAGGAGAGATCATACACAGATGTGTTGTCAGAGAAGAGTGTCCAAGAACTCTGTTGACTTAGTGTAGACATAAAATGCTGATACTCACTTTGTTGCACACCCCAAACTCGAGTCAGGCATTCGCAGGCAGAGACGAGGGAGATCCTGCAATTTAAACTCAAGTGGAGTCAGGTCAACTCCCACAGTGGTGACAGAATGCATATTCATGAGGCTGCTGCGATTGCGAGAGATAAGTGCTTGTTTGGGTAAAGGGCATGAGTTTAACGACAAGAAGTGAAACCAGTGTTCCCTTTAGGTGAAACTGTGTCTGTGACATCACATGAGGTCTGTACGTGGTGTGCAGCAGATAAAGCGTCTGTATCTGTCTCCTATCTCAGAGAGATCTCTAACCATGCAGCGATCCTGATACAGAACGAGGATACACATTCAAATACTTCACGTTACCGAACATCGAACAACATGAGGGGCTGATCTGTGCTGCGTGGCTTGTAACCATAAACATTGATCCTCATCAGGAGAGCTTGAATAGCGTCCAATCACAGTGTGTAAAACTGTGTTAAGCCAGTCCTATTTATTGGCTTAAAGGCATTATATGGTTGCATATACAATAGTCCTTATTGAACACTGAGAGATAAGGTTAAAAAGTAAAACAGTTCAATACAACCCCCCCAATCCAATCATGCTGTCCTGACCTGCTCTGGCTCATGTTCGCTGGCTGACCATGGAGCTGACAATGAAGCAGTGAGAGATTGCAGAGGTGAACGTGTGAGTGTGTCTTGGTCTGAGACTCTCTGCCCTTTGACCTCGTCCCCTCGCTTCAGGAGAAGAAGGAGTGAAGTCAGGCCAGTGAGTTGGGAAATATGTCTGATCTTTGTCACAGAGAGACAAGTGTCATCAGCTCTCAGAGAAAATGACAACGGGCCAACGTCATGAGATGTGTGCGTGGTTAGATGGGGTGAGATGGGGAAGGTGCCCCCTAAGAACAAAGTCAGTTTTGTAGCGTCATCTCCAGGCTAATTGTTTTTATTTCAGGATGTCTTGTGCCAGCGGGAACTGCCCATTGGTTCAACATCCCATTGGTTCGACATCCCATTGTTCCGACCATATTAAACTCATTGTTCCGAAGTCCGTTCCGAAATCATCATGATGCCCTGTGGTTAAGGTCTGGTTAGGTTTAGGCACAAAAACCACTTGGTTAGGGTCAGGAAAAGATCATGGTGTGGGTTAAAATGAAAAAGAAAGTGACAAACACATAAGCTGTGAACCTGCTCTGCCTCAAGCCGGTCGCGGCGCACCATACGCCCGCCGCGAGCCGTTCAGCACCGCGGACAGTCGGACTAATGGGATGTCGAACCAATGGGCTGTCGAACCAATGACATGGACCCGTGCCAGCAAGCTAGCTAAAAATGTTGGCTAATACTAGATAGCTAGCAATGCTAATGGTTGTTAGCTAGCTATCTAATAACACTAGTTAGCTGTTGAAACTACAACACTATACTTTTGCCATATCTAGATGTACTATATAAAGGCAAAAATAACTATATATATGCTACTAAAGAATCTAACTATATAATATTTTGAGGCAGGATGTCACTGGGGTTTTGCCCTCTTCTGCCTCAAGGGTCCAATGTTACATTTTTACTTCAAGAAGAAAAATCTTGTTGTAGTTGTTGTTGTTGTTGAATTAAAGATTTATTACTGTCATTTAGACTTAAAACCATTTTAATTAATGGAAGTATGTCTAAAAAGTCTTCCTTTTGCATGATAAGCAAATGTACACAGTATGATAACCGTACATTTTCATACCACGGTGTACCTCGAAATCGGTATACCACTGCAACCCTACACGGGGCACTTTTTTTTTTTAAATGGCAAGACAATACAAAACACAAACAAAATGACAAGAACAGTGAGTTTCAATGTGAATGCAGGCCAGACCAACTCCAGGTAGCCAAAATGACCTGGCCCAGAATCGGCCTGAACTTGGAATGCCGGATTAAATTAGCTGGGCCAGGTCTGGTTGCCCAACTCGGCTGAGACTTGGCATGAATGACGCCCCAGAACCGTGCCAAATCCGCTGGCCTGATTCCAGCTGCCGACACTGCCATCACAGGGACAGACCCAATTGATTGACGCCCTAGAATTGGGGCAAATCAGTTGGCTCGATTCCGGCTGCTGACACTGCCATCACTGGGCTGTTATTAGAAATGACCTGGCCCAGCGTTGGCCCAAACTCGCCATGCAGGATGAAATTAGCCGGGCTGCATCAAGTTGCTTGATTTGCGCGAGACCCGGTATGAATGACGCCCTGGAATCGGACTGAATCAGCTGGCCCGATTCCACCTGCCGACACTGCCTTCACAGGGAAAGAATAAATTGTCACAGGGTGCTGAATCCTATCCCAGCTGACACTGGGTGAGAGGTGGGGTTCACCCTGGACAGGTCACCAGACTATCACAGGGCTGACACATAGAGACAGACAACCATTCACACTCACATTCACACCTACGGACAATTTAGAGTCACTAATTAACCTGCATGTCTTTGGACTGTGGGAGGAAGCCGGAGTGAACGGAGAAAACCCATGCTGACACGGGGAGAACATGCAAACTCCACACTGAAGGGCCCCGGCTGACCAGTCATGCTCACATTCACACCTACAGGCAATTTAGAATCACCTGTTAACCTGCATGTCTTTGGACTGTGGGAGGAAGCTTGAGTACCTGGAGTAAACCCACACTGACAGTGCATGAACGTGAACATCATGGCAACATTTTCTTAGTCCATCCTTCAGCAACAAATTCTATTGCGAAATACCCATAATTGCAAAATACACACACACACACACACACACACACACACACACAAAAGATGACACAGCTGCAGTAAGGACACTGTTTCAAAACACACAAAAGAAAAACTAAAAAATATTCTCCTAACAGCTTCTGGTGTGAAACTCTTCTGGTTTATTGATCAACATTTGAACTTTTGCTCAGCAGTGATGACATTTGGTTAAATTTTGAAGAACCTTTTCCCCCGTTAGTCAACAAACAATGCTGGTAATATCACTATAATTGCTCTGTCAATAAAGTTTCTCTTTGAGCAACTCAGTTTGGACTCTGGGCATTTAAGTTTGCCACTGCTGGGAAAAGGTTGAGACTGTTTGGAGACCTTTGCCCCATATTTCTGCCTTCTCCTGCTTGAATGGACAGTCTGTCCTTACACTTGACCAAGTCAACCGTGTTGTGGTTGCGTGTGTGTATGTGTGTGGGGGGGCTTATGATGCGTGTAGATGTGAAAACTCTTTCAACAGGAGCTCAGGGGAGAAAAGGGTAAGTATACACTGGGTTTTTATGTAACACTCAAGGAAAAGGAGTGTAAAAATCGAAAAGGATGACACACAATAATATTCTGTAATTGCTGAACTGCTTGTAAAAGAGGTATCTTTATTTTTTAATATATTATTTAAAATTAGGCTCTTTATTGTAAGACTGTTGATTCAAGGCCAGGGTGTACTAAAGTAAAATGCAGGACAGGGTAATCTGAACATGACCCGGAATAATCTGGCTGCATTTCTGCCGCATTAATTTTGAACTTGGTTGCGAGGACATGTTCAACTGTTATTGTACTGTAATTTAGAGTACCTGGTAATCCTGGGCCAGGACCTGGCTGGACGGATGTGTCATCTAATCTACAGTCCTTTAATTGGTTTGGAGGTTAGTTTAATTAGGAATACCAGGTCAGGTCACAGAATTAGGCGAAATGAGTTATTTTTCTTGTTTAGTTTGTTTACATTTCTCTGTTAAATTAGCCGAGAAGTACTTAAGATATAGTCAGAGAAAACAGAAAGAAATAGAGATTTAGAAAACACAATAAAAGGTGAGTGAAGTAAAGTAGATGGATTATTAGTAATTCAGAGTTGCATGACTCAACATAAACAGTTTCACAGGCCTAAGGGACTGTTCGGCGGGAGGGAGGCGGGAGGGAGTGGTGCAGAAAGGAGGAGGCATGTCCAATCATTTTTTAAGCACTGGTAGGGATACTTATGTTTATTATTTTGGCTAAGGGGGGGAGGCATACAACCTTAAAAGGTTGTATTTTGTATTTATTTTAATGCCAATTTTTAAAGGAAAACATGCCGTTCAAACCCACAGGCTGGTTAGAAATAGCTTAAATTGCATCATTTATTATAACCAGAAACTGTAAAAACAGATATTATTGTTGGATTTGGACACATCATGTACAACAAATGCTTCTGTCAGAAAAATACAAAACCAAAATCTGAGCTTAAAATAGTGAAACTTAATCAAATTCACTTCATTAAACTGTTTGAACAAACTAACCAACGTGCACGGCAAGAGTTCAAAATGGAGGCTTTTTTCAACTCCAGAATTTCTTCTTCAACTTTTAACTTTCACACGTTAAAGGGTAAGTTTTAAAAATCTGAAAGTTTTAAAAATCATGCATTTTTCCACCAGTCACTTAGGGAGGCTCACGGAAAAATATTCGTGGCTTCAGGGACAAAAACCTCTCCTCTAATAAGTAAAGAACAGTCCCTAACAGGACATTGTTTATCATAATAGGTGCCTTTTTTAATTCAATTTAATTTTATTTAATTCTATTTAATTTAACATTTCTGTTGGTAATTTTAATCTATACTGTAGGTATATATTTCCATTTCATACACTTTCAATCTACTTCTCCTGTGGAGAATGGACAATGAGGTTTTAATTATTCGGTACATTTTTTTTGCCCCAAGATAAAAAATATTCCAGAAATATGAAACATGTATAATAATTACATCCAGTTCTGTGGTCTTGAGATTGCATTGCAAGGAAGTCTTCAAAAATTATTAAATCATTTTTAAATAGTTTTAGTCCTGGTCTTATTTTGGGGTTGAATGGAGTGTATGTTGATAATTTTCACTTTATCTTTTTAAGTATTTGCATGAGATGATACACATATGCACATTTGTATACACTTAATTTCAAGTTTCATTCTCAATACACTCTGTGAGCTCAGATTCCCATTCATTTTTAATTTGTAAATTCTGTGCCATAGTTGTAATGACACAATTGATACAATTCAGTTCTATATTTTTATACTTTTAAGAGGAAACTGAGAAAATCAAGACAAAT